AAAGAAGAGGCCTCATAAGCCTAGGCAACCTTAGAAACTTTGCTTTCAGGGAACTTCAGCTTGCTACAGACAAACTTCAGCTCCAAGAACATACTAGGTACTGGAGGTTTTGGCAATGTCTACAGGGAAAGTTAGGGATGGTACTCTTGTGGCAGTGAAGGCGGCTAAAAGACTTGACAGGATTTTTGGGGAGTCACAGTTCAGGACTGAGTTGGAGATGATCAGCTTGGCGGTTCACCGTAATCTGCTTCGTTTAATTGGATATTGTGCTACCTCTAATGAGAGACTTCTTGTCTACCCTTACATGTCTAATGGAAGTGTGGCATCCAGGCTTAGAGGTTGGTATTAGCTTTACTTTTCTGAAACTTCTTTCATTCAATTTTCATACCGGACAAGTTGATTTCGTATTTTGTTTTAAAAACAACTAGGCAACCACTGTATTGTTGCTCTTTCATTGTCTTGCCATGGACCATAATTGGTTGAAATGCCAAAAATTAAGGTCCAGCCTATGCGGATAGGGACCAAGCTACCAGTAGTTATTTTTCTTATTTTTAATTTTATTTACTTTTCAAAATAGTTTCCAACTGACAATATTCGGTTATTTATTAGTTTAAATCTTAAAGGGCTTTCCTTTGTTTGCTAATTCTGAGTAAATTTGCAGATGATTTTTTTACTGTAATTTACCTTACCTCTAAAGTAAATGAATTGGGTTTGGCAGGAAAACCAGCACTAGACTGGAATACAAGGAAGAGGATTGCGATTGGAGCAGCGAGGGGACTTCTGTATCTACATGAGCAATGTGATCCAAAGATAATCCACAGAGATGTGAAGGCAGCTAATGTCCTTCTGGATGATTACTGTGAAGCCATTGTTGGTGACTTTGGCCTTGCAAAGCTCCTCAATCATGCTGATTCCCATGTCACCACTGCAGTCCGTGGCACTGTTGGGCACATTGCACCTGAGTACCTCTCAACTGGTCAGTCTTCGGAGAAAACTGATGTGTTTGGATTTGGCATTCTCTTGATAGAGCTCATAACTGGAATGAGAGCTCTCGAGTTTGGTAAAACAGCTAGTCAGAAAGGAGCAATGCTTGAGTGGGTTAGTTTCCTAGCAACGATAATAAGCTAACTCTTTCTTTTTATTAATATCAACTAGGTTGTTTTGTTTGATCACTCGCGACCTTTGTACGCACCTTAGATGTTGAAAGAAATATGATGTTGATAAAGGGATTTTGATCTAAATGCATTTGACCATAAGATTTGGGATACCCAATGTTTAAAGGATGGTACAAGCACCAAAAGAAAGAGTGAAAAACATTTTTCTGTTTTGAGGGCGGGGGAGTAATGGATAATTCTAGTGGAAAATCTTCTGGTTTAGGACTGCTGCTGCTGGTGTTTTATTAACTAGTCATAATTTACATGCATTTGAGCTCTAGGATTTTCTACTTTGTTCAGGGGCATTATTTGCCCTGCAATCATAGCACATAGTATAGTTAGTGCCGCATATGAAGAAAAATTTACCTTGCATGAAATTATTTCCTCTTAATTTTTATGCACTTGGGGAAAGATGCATTTGGAATTTGAGTTGTTTTTCAAAATAGTAAGCTGGAATCAGCCAAGAGCATAAAAAGAAATATATATATATATATATATATATGAAGAAAGCTGATGGAGAAACATTTGCAATTTGTTGTGACAGGTGAAGAAAGTTCAGCAAGAAAAGAAAGTGGAAGTGTTGGTGGACAGAGAGCTAGGGCGCAACTATGACAGGATTGAAGTGGGGGAGATGCTGCACGTGGCTTTGCTATGCACTCAGTACCTTCCGACCCACCGCCCAAAAATGTCCGAAGTGGTCCGGATGCTCGAAGGCGATGGGCTTGCCGAGAAATGGGCAGCATCACATAATCATGGTAATCACACCAACAACCCTACCCCTGGATCAAAACATGAGAAAAAAAGTGATGATCAATCGAGGAACATGTTCGGCACAGGAATGGATGAGGATGATGATGAACATTCTTTGGATTCCTATGCCATGGAGCTCTCTGGTCCCAGATAAGATCAACAAAGAAAATAGAGGATGCATTCTTTATTAAATTCTTTACAAGTTCCCCAAGTTTTCAAAAAGGAAATAGCTTTTGTCGTATGTTTAAAGACCGATGTCAAATTTATATTTTCTGGGGTTGTAATGTTAATGTCCTTTTTACACTGTTTTATGTTCTTTTTGCTGTGTGAATCCGTGCCTGACCAAATGTAAATGGGAAAGGTTTTGAGCAAGGATTGTAAAGTGTTTTGAATGGATAAACACTGAAACAGAGAAAAGAAATCAATGCTCTGCTCCCAATGTGAACACAGATTCACCATAATGATTTTAGACGGCGATTAAACATTATATTCAAAGAAATGTATGGTATAAAACTGTACATTACAGGTTTTCACAATATTAATAAATAAATTAGAAATTAATTTTTTAAAAAACAAAGATTTAAAAATTTATTCATTAATGATTGTAGATGATGAACTATAATGCATTAAATATAAAAAATTAGCAATTTATTTGCAATATTTTGAGGTAGTGAAAGTGAAAGGTACTGTCAAAATGTTCGCTGAGCTAAGGTAAGTTTGATGCTTTGCAGTATCAAGGATAAATTAGGGATGTAAATAATATATTAGTACTCACAAGTTATTCAGATTTGATTTGAAAAAAATTTGAATTTAGTTAGATTATTATCGAGTCGAGCTCGAGTAGTTTGATTTATCGATTGAGTCGAATTCGAGTATTCTTATATCCGATTCGAATAACTCGCGAGCCTAATCAAGTTTTTATATTTAAATATATTTTTATTATTTTAATTAATAAAATAATAAAAATATATTTAAAGCATAAATAATTAAACTTTTGTTGAGTATACGAATCAAACTTATTTTTAATAATCAAACTTTTGTTGAGTATACGAATCAAGTTTATTTTTACATATTAATCGAGCTTAATCGAACGAATTTGAGTAGCTAGAATTCGATCACGAATCGAACTCGAGCTTGAAAAATAAAATTCGATCAAGTTCGAGTCAAGTATCAAGTCGCGAGTTATGAGTCGAGCTCAAACTTCTCATTGTATCGACTCGACTCGATTCGATTACACCCCTAATTATAATGTTTGAATTTAAATTTTTTTCTCAACCAAAATAAAAAAAAATAAAATAATGTTCTAAAAAACTCAACTATATCCTTTTAAAAATCACATGAAGATCAATCAATGATGCTATCATATTATATATAATATTATATTATAATATATCTGATAAATTTATTTGTATAAATGTTTAAGTAGATAATCTATATTATTAACACATAAGATAGTTTTAAATAATTTTAGTAAATCAATTATTTAATTTTTAAAAATTTTAAAGTTTTACTATTTACATTTATCCAAAATTTTCAAAATATATAAGTTTTATCCTAATTTAAACTTGAAAAAATATATCTCATATCTTACCTTTACCCATATATATGAAATACAAATTTCATATAGTTTAAAATATTAAATCTTTAAATCTTAGAAACCATAAAAAATTATACACTATTTAAATTAATATTCACATAAATTTAAATATATAAAATTTGTGGTTAAATCACTGTTATTTATCAATTTTTTATTTTTATTTTTATATATTTTTAAAAACATTATTTTCCTAGGATTTAAATAAAAAAAAAGATATTTTATATCAATTTAAAAGTACACACATATTTAAATTTAAAATTATATTAATATCTTTTATCTTAATTTAAAATTAAACATAGATAAACTATATTTTTAAAAATTTAAAATTTTTTTAAAATTAATAATTATCAAATATATATTTATGATTTCTTCTCACAATAAATATTTTTTTTCTTTATAAAAGATTAAACAATTAGATTTTGTTACAAAAATTTGAGATGATAAAATTTTAAAAATTAAATATGAAAAAGTTTTCATGATATATCACATGTGTAAATTTTAATTTTCATACTAAATAATATATAATTTTAGAGTATATGTAATTGTACATAAGAGATTAATTTTTACATTGAGATTTATATGTAATTTTATTTTTATAATTCAAAACTTTCATAATATTTATTTAAATTTTTTTATAATAATTTATGTATAGATGATTTTTGTAATTTAAATTATAAATTATAAATGATTAGAAATATTTTTATTTGTATATAATATAAAATTAGTATGAATTAAAATTTTAAATTATGAAAAATATAATAAAATTCCGTTTATTGTACGGATAAAAAACTAGTTAAATATATGATATTCACGAATTTACGAATTGAATCGTCTTTTACATGTGAATAGTTACATGAATGTATTAAAATAATAATAATATTGAGGGAGCCAAAGCCTTATTTATTTTAATGAGTACTCAAAAAATTATTTAAAAGATAAAAATCATGTATTTATAATTATGATCACGTACTAAATTTTGAAACATGACAGTTAGTTTGGTGGACCCACATTAGGTAATGACGTGGCGTAAGCCGACCATGGTAGCTTGATCTAATCAGGTCGATGGTATGATCTTGCATTAGCCGTTCAGTTTAAACGATGATGGAAACAGGGGACCCACCTCACTACCCGCCTTGATTCCATTCCACGTTTTCTTCTTTCTGTGCTGATCGCCGGCGTCTTAATTTCGCTTTAATTTTAAAAGAGAGAAACAAATTATATGGTTTTTTCTTTTTATTATAAAAGGTTTTCGAAATTACTCCCGCTGGTAGCGACAATTTTCACAATGGCCAATCACTCCTCCTCTTACCCAATCCTTCACGCTTCCTTCAATCAAAAACAACAGGTAAGTTTAAATTTAAAAAATCCTTATTGTTTTCATTTAATTTTGCAACAAAGTAAATATTTTTGGCTTAAATGAAGCGCTTTTTGATAGATTATTCTCTTTTGTTTTTTGTTTAAATTTTGCAGTGGTTTTGTAATAAGCACCCCAGATGGGTTTCAAAATATTCGATCCAAACACCGGACGACTCTGCTACGAACGAGGTGAACTAATTTCGCAAAAATTTTATTTTTATTTTTATTCTCTTGTCTAATTATTAATTTTGAGCGAATTTGATCAAAGTTTTAATTAAGATAATTGATTGATTATTTTTTATTCTTTTCTCTGTTATTAATTTTTGAGCCAATTTGATCGAAGTTTTAAGTAAAAAATTGATTGACTATTTCATTTATTTTATTTGACTTATTTTGCTAGCTGTTGGAGGTTTCATTATTGTTGAAATGCTGTATAGTTCTAGTCTTCTCGCCATTGTTGGGGCCGGTGAACAGGTGCTTTACAATTTACCCCTTTTTGTTAATAATGTTTTTGGACTGATTTTTATTATTATTCAATTAAAATTACTATTATTGCAATAATTTACTATATATTTTGTAGATGTTGATGAGTTACTGAACTGTGGTATTGCTGAACTGTTGCAGCCATCTTTATCTCCACGCCGTCTCTGTTTGTTCAATACAAAAACCAATGCTCCTCTCCGGGAAATGACTTTCCTAACTTCAATTCTTGCTGTTCGCTTAAATAGGAAAAGGTAAAAAAGGATGTCTTTTAGCTTAATAGATAAGCAATTCAAAGCTCCATAATGTTTCGTTCCTTATTTTGTGGATTCTAATGTTTGGTTTTGACTGGGTAAATATGGTTTATTTTAATTTAAATATGCTTGATTGTACCTAGATGTAAGTCAGGATAGAGGCATCTGTGAGGAACTGTTCAATGTTAGGAATTACCTAATTACTAGACAGAGAGTTTCCCCCCCTTCTATTGTATGGATTTGATCTAAAGGCTCTTTTGTCAGTGACATATTGGCAATTGTAGGTTTCCCTGAGTTTGTCATGAGAATTATGTTTTGTCTTGCCTTACACCTTGTTGTCGGTGCATATCACATGCTATGATATGGCACTGGTAACTTTAGATCAGGAAGCAAAGCATCTTGATTACTTCCAGATTAGTTTGCCAGGAAAGCAGTAGTAATGGCCCAGCTGCTAAACTCGGACCTTGACTCATTTGATCTTTGGGAAAAAATGGAACCTGTTTCATATTCTTTTGTGCTTATATGCCCCCTTAACCGGTTTCATAGCTCAAATTGGTGGGCGTTCTGTTAATAGATAGATAATGTGGCATAAGGAAATTAATTAACTAATGTCCAGAAGTCTCATGAAAACACTGTCAAGTAATATCCATTTTAGCACTTGTTTTGAGTGTCTGTAAGCATGCTTATTCAAAACTGAGGGGTTTTGAATGACTGAAAGTGCAAGAGAGAATGTTAATAGCCACTTAAAAGATATTTTATAATCGTTGTTAGTATTATTAAACTAAAAACAAAGATTGGATCATAATTGTGGTCTTAAAGAGCGTTTTGTTTTGGAAGTAGTTTGATTCCTTTCTATGATAGGATTAATTTGTTGGTGTCTTCATTTTGTTGGGGCTAGAAAATTATCTTGTTTCTCAGACAACAACTTTCTTTCTGTGCCATAATAATTGTAGATTCAAAGTCAGAGGACACTTGCGAATTCACTTTATTTATTTATTGCTCTATATAGGTGGTTTTAGAGGATCCTTGTTGTGGAATGCTATTCACTAGTATTTTTTAACAACAGTGTTGAAGGGAGTTTAGTTAAGTTCGCAAATGGAAATGCAAGTTTATGTGGAAATTTGGTTTAATAGGGATACTGTAACGGGCAAAAATATCTCATTGCAAACAGAAGTTTTTTCTTCTATAATTTAATTCCATTTGTTCACTTTGGTTTTTGCCACATGCTTCAGTGTTGTATGTCTCCAAGATCAAATCAGCCTTTTAGGCCTTATTTTATTGTTGTGATTTCCATTTTGACTTCTTTTAATTATACTAAATTGCACTGAGGTTTGTATGTTATTCTCTGGCATCACCTAATTCTACACTAGTCTGTTGGATATGATTATCTATGGTTTTTAATGATACTTAATTTGTATTATTGCAGACTTGTTGTGGTTTTGAAAGAAAAAACCTACATATATGACTCAAACAGTCTTGCAATATTGGATACTATTGATACTGTGCCAAATTTAAAGGGTAAGGTAGAATGTGTTTCTTCTGTGTATAAGGTGGCTTTTGCAATCTTTCAAGTGGGACATGTTAAGTTATACCAGTTTTCTTACTTTAACTTCTAAAACTGCTTGATCCTAGTATTTTTATGGTTGCTTAATTGACTTGAAGTGTTACTTGCATGGCCATGTTTTATCTTAGATTCTCTTATATGATTTAGGACATGACATTTGAAAGGATACTTAACTGAAGGAATAGTTTGCTTAGGAAAGTAGTTTCTTATACAGTTTTAAATTTCTAATACCTTTTGCATGGTTTCTTACTCGTTCTTAAATCCTTATTGAGAAGTTGATATTCGACTTGATGGGTTAAAAATGGAGCAGACAAATGGAAAGCAGATAAATAAGATTTTTCATAGTTGGAGGTATCCAAAAATTTTGGATTGAGAGGGGACTCCCTTGACCATTGAATATGGTCTATCCATGCAAGTTTCAAATTTCTGCCATTTTATAGATGATCTGCTTTCCATATGATGAATTTGCATGATGCTATGCAAACCAAAGAATGGTAATCCTTTTGTTGGAAATCTTATTGTGGCTCAAGTTTTAGGAGGTTCTATTGTGGATATGTATAGTTTGAATTAAAATTTTCTCTTGCAAACTGACGTCAGCTCAAAAATCTTCTGGTTCTTGCTGGTTTCTGGAAAGTGAGTTTGCAAAACAATAGTTTATAATATATGGCGGACACCAGTATGGAATGAGTTGCTTTACTAAACAGAATTGCCATATTGCAATTGTGATGCAGTGGAAACCTATTATAAATCACATTTTAAGGTTGCTTATATCTTTGGATCTTTATCTAAAATCCTTAAGTTTTGTTCAATGTGTCTGATCTATTTATCTTTTGCTTGTTAGGGTGGATGGAAAAGTTTTGAATCCAATGGTGATGCTATACAAAGAGGGAAGACGTTATGAAAGTTGCCATTGGATTGAAAATGTTTCCATCCTCCTTACCAAGCAAAGTCTTATGCTCATAGCCAAAGTGTACTTTCTTTTCTGCTCTTTGTTTGCTGAACTGCTTTGGGGAGAGTTATGCTGGATAAGATATAGGTCTGAATTGTTTCTTAATGCAGTAACTTGTTGCAAGAGAGCATGACTATGTTCCACTCTGAGATATGCAGAAGTTCAATTGTAGCCAGCTTATTTTCAGTCCTTCAAAATTATCACTTACTTTTTTTTGATCTCCTTTCACTTAATGACTCAAAGTTCTTAGGAATGTTTACTGATTGACATTGAGATAAGGAAAGGATTATAGAATGTTCACAAATAAGAAGATAGAGAAACACAATCTCACATTAGAGTATCATTATTTTAACCATCAATCTCCATGCATCTTTGTGCTTTTGAAGAGCAGGGAGAGCAGGTAGCCTATTCAAAAGTTATATACTCTCTGTCTGGAAGGGTGATTGTTGATAGTTAATAATGAAATAGAAAGTGGTACAGTTGAGGTAACTGAGAAGGCATTGTGAGTCATGTAAACTCGTGAACAAAAAACATTTTCATTATTTGTTTTCCTGAGGGTTTTTTGTTATTTCTTTCCTTCAGGACTTTGTGCATTCTCCCCTAGTTTGGATGGTTGCTTCTTGGCTCTTCCTGCCAGTACGACCAAAGATCTGTATTAGTGTACAATGTCATGGAGCTCCAGTCACATTGTGAGGTTGTGACCGAAGTTTCTCTTCAGATTAAAATGAATATTGTTATTTGGAAGTCATGACTCCAGGATGCATTGTTGTGATACTGAAAATATTTCTTGTCTGCTAGAAATTGGACCTATGTACCTAAGAAGCAGTTAAGTTTTTGAAATGCAGAGTAACTAAGTTGATTAAAACCTGCCAGTCAACATGGCGAATGTTTAAGCTACATTGATTAGCCACCTATATTTTTATTGGATTTTCTGATAAATATATTTATACACAAGATAGCATTCTGCATTCTTTTCAGCTTCTTATCCTCAATAACAATAATTCATAAACCCAGTGCATTTAATGTGATATAATTCTTGTGTATTTTTATAAAAACATTAAATGTGCTAGCTATCATGTGCAAAGTGTTTAATTATGAATAGCATTTTTTTGAAGAAAAAGTTGGAGCAGGTTCTGCCAACATAAACCATGACAAAGTATGGAATAACTCAAGAACTTGGCTCTTTAATAGATACAGTGATTTCTTTGTATTTACCTTCTGACTGAGGATTGATGATTTTTGTTGCTGAAAGTTCTAGTTTGGGTATTGCTACTATCATCCTTCTTTT